CGCATCCGTGGTCATACGAAGGGCCCCACTCTTCTTCTTGACGAAGAACACTGAGATAAGACACTTGGGGGCCTTCGTCCAATGAATCATGCTCTTTTGGTCAAGCTGGCGCACAAACCTCCTGTAGAGCCGAGGCGACGACTCCAAGCGGCGGTCCACGCACGGCTTAACAGCCCCAAAAGCGTGATCGAGCTCGCTCTACTCCTCGGAACTCCGCCGATTACGTTCGATAAACCTCTCGAGCAAAACGCGGGCGCGCGTGCCCCCGATCAAGTCTGCGTACCTCGCGTCGCGGACGTCAGCGGGGAGCGACACCCTGCCCCCCTCGTAGGGTGTCACAGTCATGTGCGCCTGGTCGCACACCGACTCGGCGCGGAGAAGCGCGCGCGGCTTCCTCCTGAGAGACACTGTGGCGAGGCGGCCTCCAGCTGTGGACAGCTTTCAGCACCCGCTCGTAGATCTCTCGATGGACGGGGGCGGCGGTTGCAGGGGCTCGACATACCTCAGCAGCGACTCCGCAGCCCGACATCCAGTACAGAGCATGCAAAACTTCGTTGGCCCTGTTGTCCAACGCGCGCCGACGCCCGACTCGTTGGCGCACTCCACGGGAGAGGCCACGAGCAGGGGGCTCTGTCTCGGGCAACGGCACACCAGTCTCATATGCGTGCTGTGTCCGCTGGTGGTCCCAGACACAGCCGCCTCGATCACCTCCTCCACCCTGCGGCATCAGTCCTGTTGCTGTCGCCCTTGTCGCGAAGCTTTCTGACCTCCTGCCGCTGTTCCTCAACCTCGGTCTCCTCCTTGGCCCTGCGGGCCGCAGAATTCTTCAAATCGGGCCACACCACATCCGTCAAGCTCGTGAGCCCCGAGAGGTACTTCGCGTTTTCGAAGCTAGGCTTGTTCGGGTTGGCTTCGTAGACGTCGACCATAGCCTGCACTCGCAAGCAGAGGAGCTCGGCATTCACCACCGACCCGAGGTTGCGCTGGTCATGGCACCCTGCGATCTCCAGCGAATCTATGATCATCCTCAACTCGTAATACACATGGTCGCTGTTCGCGATCTCCTTGCTCTGCGCCCCTTTGTCCAGCCAGCCAGACGGCACACATCAAACTCTCTCCATCTGGGCGCAGAAGTGGGTTGCAGTCGGGGGCCTGTCGGCCGGCCAGTCCGAGAGGACGCGTCGCGACATCTCCGCCTCTACTCCCGCCCAGGCCTTGTACTCCTTGCCCTGAGCGTCGAAGTCGACGACCGATGTGCGAACGTCTCTATCAGTGCTGGGGCTGCCTCCACCTCCGCCCTGATCGCCGGCCCCGACCATCAGGTCGCCGACACCGACCTCCAGCTGCTCGCCGATGCGCTCCCCGTCCACCGACCGATCCACCACCACCCAGGCCCTCCCCTCGGGAGGCACCAGCGCAGTGGCCACCGTCAGTCCTGCGGGCAGAACGCCAGCCCCAGCAGCAGGCAGCGCGTCCACGCCCACAGCGACTCCCCCAGCGGCGTCCCGCCACGTCCCGATCGGTCTCTCGAGCCCTCCAGGACTGACGTACACTGAGACCACGGGCAGAAGGGCGCCTTCCGCCGCCAGGTTCGTCTCCTCGCGATCCTCCGTCATCAGCGTTCTCAGCTCTCGCACCCTAAGGCATTCCTTGGGACGGTACACACTCTCTCGCAGCCCGCCTGGCCGCGCACCGTCACGGGCCCCGTGTGTCTTGGCGGGCCCGTCCTCGTAGCCCACGATGCTCTCGGCGTACGCAGGCCCGTCGGCAGTCAGTCTCATCCAAACGCTCTCCTCGACCTTCGACCAGAGACTCATCCTCCCGGGCCACACCGAGTCGTCCTCGTTCCGCGCCAGGTTCACCTCTCCTGGCCGCAGCCGTCTCCAGAGCTCCCGCGCCGCCCCGCCGCCCGCCGATGCCACCAGCGTCCTAGTGTCGACGACGGCAGGCGGACACAACGAATCAGACGGTGTTGACCGCCTCGGCGAGGCAGACGAGCGGAGCCACCAGTCCGCTCCACACACGGGCTCCCCGTCGGCGGCACACTTCCTCAGGCCGAAATCCTCCGTGGGCAGCGTGGGCGGACCAGTCAGGCTTGGACAGGGCGGACACTCGGGCCAGGGCTCGCCATTCCCCGGGCAGTTGATCTGCAGAGGCTGAGTGAGGGGCGGTCGAAAGACTGCCTCGAAGAAGGCCACAAAGACCGCCCCTGTGCTGGCGGCCTGCCCGCACTTCATCCGCGAGAAACTTGAGGGAAAACGGTTGCGGTTGACAGACGCAGAGGCAACATGACTCCGAGCAATTCCCATTCAAACCTGTGCACGCACATCAATCATCATCATCATCCTCATCATCCTCATCATCATCATCATCATCATCATCATCATCATCATCATCATCATCATCATCATCAGCATCATCAGCATCATCATCCCCTTCCTCCTCCTCCTCCTCCTCCTCCTCCTCCTCATTCTCATCCTCCTCCTCTTCCTCCTCCTCCTCCTCCTCCTCCTCCCCCTCCTGCTCCTCCTCCTCCTCCTCCTGCTCCTCCTCCACCTCCTCCTCCTCCTTCTCCTCCTCCGCTTCCTCCTCCTCCTCCTCCTCCTCATCCTCCTCTCATCCTCCTCCTCCAGTCCTCCTCCCGTCATCCGTCTCATCATCCTCCTCATCATCTCCTCCTTCTCCTCCTCCTCCTCCTCCTCCTCGTCATCACATCTCCTCCTCCTCCTCCGCCTCCTCATCATCATCATCATGTTCTTCCTCCTCCTCCTCCTCCTCCTCCTCCTCACCGTCCTCCTCCTACTCCTCCTCTTTCTCTCCTCCGCCTCCTCGTCCTCCTCGTGTCCTCCTCCTCCTCCTCCTCCTCCTCCTCCTCCTCCTCCTCCTCCTCCTCCCCCTCCTCCTTCCTCCTGCCTAGTTCCCCCTCCTCCTCCGCATCCTCATGGTCCTCCTCGTCATCCTCCTCCTCCTCCTCTTCTGCGTATTAGTGATAGCCTTATCATGATTCGTCATATTCTTATTGTTCGTGTTCATATAGTATTCGTCGTCGTCTTATTAATCGTGTCATGCTTAGTATTAGTAATATTGTCGTTCTTAGTTTTAGTAGTCGTATAAGTAAAGTTCGTATTATTAGTGTTCGTCTTCGTGTTCGTCGTATGTGTCTTCGTCTTCTTCTTCTTATTACTCGTCTTGGCATTATTAAGTTGCGCATGATTCCTCTTGGTAGTATTTTACTACTATTAGAACTGCTCTTAGCAATATGACTGGCATTAGTGATGTTACTATTAGTATTGTGAGTATTAGTCGAATGAATATCATGATTAGTAGTACTATTCGTCTTCTTATTGTTGATAGTAGTAGGTGTTAGTACTATTCCTCCTCCTCCTCCTCCACCTCCTCCTCCTCCTCCTCCTCCTCATCCTCCTCCTCCTCCTCTTCCTCCTCCTCCTCCTCCTCCTTCTCCTGCTCCTCCTCCTCCTCCGCCGCCTCCGCATCCGCCTCCGCCTCCTCCTCCGCCACCGCCACCGCCTCCGCCTCCTCCTCCCTCCTCCTCCTCCTCTCCTCCTCCTCCTCCTCCTCAGCTCTCATCATATCATCATCATCATCACCACCACCACCACCACCACCACACCACCAATGCATCATCATCCTCCTCATCATCATCATCATCATCACATCATCATCATCATCATCATCATCATATCGCATCATCATCCTCATCCTCATCCTCATCCTCATCCTCATCCCTCATCTCATCCTCATCTCATGTCACCTCATCCTCATCATCATAGCCTCATCATCATCATCATCATCATCATCATCATCATCATCATCATCCATCATCATCCATCATATCATCTCAATCAATCATCTTCATCATCATCATCATCATCATCATCATCATCATCATATCATCATCATCTCATCATCATCATCATCATCCCCCTCCTCCTTCTCCTCCTACTTCCTCTTCCTCTTTCCCCTGCTCTCCTCCTCCTCCTCCTCTCCTCCTCCGCTTCCTCCTCCTCCTCCTCCTCCTCCTCCTCCTCCTCCGCCGCCTCCGCCTCCGCCTCCGCCCCGCCTCCTCCTCCTCTTCTTCTCCTCCTCCCCTCCTCCTCCGCCTCCTCGCCTCCTCCTCATCATCATCCTCCTCCTCCTCCTCCTCCTCCTCCTCCTCCTCCTCCTCCTCCTCCCCCTCCTCCTCCTTCTTCTTCCCCTCATCCTCATCCTCATCCTCATCCTCGTCCTCCTCCCGTCAGTAAGGACGCACGATAAGTATGGGAGGGCCTTGGAAGGTCATGTCGGCACTTTGCGAGCGGTACACGGCCAGCGAAAGCGGCCGAGGATGGGCTGGAAGGGGAGGATGCAAGGGTAACCTTGGAGAAAAACGTTCCTCCTTGATATGCGGGTTGATTGCAACCGACCCATAGCAAACCATCCCCTTCCGTGACGCTAGCATCGCCTTTCAAGCTTCCATCCAGCCGCATACATATGTCTTAGGGGCGAGGCGAAGGGGACGTCACGGAAAGGGATGCGGATCGCCAAGAACGCCGAAAGTACGGAAACCCGGAGGTACCAGTACCGCCACTCCCCGGACCTCTCCCGGGAAAGCGGATCCAGCGGTGGCGACGAGGGCCTCCCAGGAGGCCGGAAAAGGAGAAAACGTGGTAAGCGCAGCGGTGTGGGTACCCCCTCCTCCTCCTCCTCCTCCTCCTCCTCCTCCTCCTCCTCCTCCTCCCCCTCCTCCGCCTCCTCCTCCTCCTCCTCCTCCTCCTCCTCCTCCCCTCCTCCTCCTCCTCCCTCCTCCTCCTCCTCCTCCTCCTCCTCCTCCTCCTCCTCCTCCTCCTCCTCCCCCTCCTCCTCCCCCTCCGACACGAGGCCGCGGTTACGGATCGGATACGTGTTTCGCCCACGACCCCCCCCCCGCGCGGGCAGCGCGCGATCGGCCGAGGCCGACGCAGGCCACGCTCTGCTCGCGAGGCGCCCCGAGAGCGCGGCGCCTGGCCCTCGCTCGGGGGCGCCGCCGCTGGCGCCCCGCCCCCGCCGCAGCAGGCCCTCGAGCTCCTCCAGGTGCGCGGCCTGCCTGCGGTAGGGGGCCGCATGCGAACCCTACCCCTCAGAAATCGTTTCTCAACCTTCCCCGAAGACACAGAAAATCTCTCAGAAGGCCGGATAGGGGGCCACAGGCGAACCCTGCCCCTGCCCCCCACGATTTCTGAGGGGGAGGGTGGGGTTCACTTCGCTCGAGAGCTCCCGAACGAAGTGAACCCCGCCCTCCCCCTCAGAAATCGTGGGGGGCAGGGGTAGGGTTCGCATGTGGCCCCCTGTGCGGGAGTCGGGGCGGGGGCATTTCCCGGCGGCGGGCGAAGGGGGGAAAGTGAGAAGGAGACAGGAGGTTCGAGCTTCGAGGCTCGAGGTTCGAGGCGCGTTTGCCCTCGTGTTCGGCCCCTGGGGGCCGCGTCAGGGCCCCGGGACCCCCGAAACTCGAGGGGGCGTGAAAAACCGCGTCGGCTGGACGCCGGGGGGGGTCTGGGGACCGACTTTGAACGATATTCGGCGGCGCGCCCAGAGGGGAAGGTGAGAAAGAGAAGGCCTTCTCAGAAGGCGGCGGGGCTGCTCAGAAGCCCCCCGTCCTTCGGGGAAGTTTCTCTGCGTCTTCGGGGAAAGCCGAGAAAGCTTCTCAGAAAGCCGGGGGGACTTCCGAGCCTTCTGAGAAGGCTGGGTCCCCTCCCCGACGCGCGGAGCGCGCCAGGGGCGGCGCCAGAGGCGCCGCCAGCGGCCCCCAGCGCCGATCCGAAGAGCCCGCGCGGACACCCGAGTTTTCATGTAGCCCCCGCACTTGCGGGTGAGAGCGACGGGCCGGGCGCGGGGTGGGTCGCGGGTGGGTCGCAGGCGAGTCGCTGGTGGGTCGCGGGGTGGGTCGCAGGTCGGCTGCGCGAGGGTCACGGGTGGGTCGCGGGTGGGTCGCGGGTGGGTCGCGAAGGAAGTATCGAGCGACAGGACTGCCCTGGTGGGGATGGGGGCTGTCGGCGGCGAGGCAAGGACCTGGCCCTGAATAGAAAGGGAGGAAGTCTCGAGCAGGGCCGCTGTTGTTGCTGGGAGCAGCGCCAATGCTGAAGAGAGTAGGGCGCTAGTCCAGCGTAAAACAAAACGAAGTCTCGAGCGGGAACGCTGGTTTTGTTGGGGCGGCGGTTGCCCGCGGCGACGAGGAACACCGCCTTGAAGTAAAAGGGAGGAAGTCTCGAGCGGGAGCCGTGGTATTGTCGGGACAGGGGATGTCGGCGGCGAGGAACAGCACCGTCATGAGGAAAAAGGGAGGACGCCTCGAGCGGGAGCGTTGCTCTTGCTGGGAGCGGCGCCAATTCTAAAGAGAGCATCCAACGTAAAACGGGAGGAAATCTCGGGCGGGAGCGCTGGTTTTGCCGGGACGGCGGTTTTCGGCGGCGAGGAGGAGCACCGCCTTGAGTAAAGAGGAAGTCTCGAGCGGTAGCGTTGTCGTTGCTGGGGGCGGCGCCGATGAGAGGTAAGGTAAAACGGGAAGAAGTCTCGAGCGGTAGCGCTGGTTTTGTTGGGACGGCGGCCTTCGGCGGCGAGCAAGAGCACTGGCCCTGAGCAAAAAAGGAGGAAGTGTCGAGCGGGAGCGTTGTTGTTGTTGGGGGGCTGGTTTTGGCGCCCCCCCAAACCGCTCGAGTGTGAGCCTCATTTTCAACGAATATGTAGCCGGCGCGGAGGCGAGAGCGTCAAAGCGCTTGGGGGGTCCAACAATAATAATTGCTTAGTAATTAATTCAATAACAACAACAACAACAACAACAACAACAACAACAACAACAACAACAACAACAACAACAAAAACAACAACAACAACAACAACAACAACAACAACAACAACAACAACAACAACAACAATACTAGCACGTGGGGACACTCCGTTCTCACCAGTGCCAGGGTTTTCATAGGAGGCGGGCAATACCCCCACTTTGTGGGGGGGCCGGTTCAAGCTCTACCAAATTTCCAAACGACTCTTCGCCACCACCCACACCCAGCTTCCCGCCCTATGACGTTCGGACACTTCACTTCGTGGCATGCGGACGACCGTGGCTACTATTCAGGGCCCCGCGGCCGACGACGACGGCGTGCGCGCGCGAAGAAAAAACGAATGTGTCCAATATGGTATTATTTGACAGGGATGATGGCCCTGGCATGCGCGCAACCGTTGTTGCAGAAGTTCGAAGCACGTGAAAAAGTTGCTCGCAAGAGCCCGTTTGACAGAAATGTTGAAAAAATATTGGGTTTCCTCAGAAATCCGCAAGAGCGCGCAAGATGATTTTTTGAAACTTTTTTTTTGAAAAACCATTGGGTTTTTCATGTTTTTATGTTAAAATCGCTACGAAAACTAAGGTTTTGGAAGGATTTCATCTTGCGCGCGCGAGTGTGCACTTCGTGTCATTTTTTGCAAAGGATTCTTGAAGTTTGGTTATGTTAGAACAAGACATGTCATTTTATAGTGTTTTTTGACAGGGAAAGCGGGCGTCAACAAAACAACCGGATCTGGATGACATCGTTTTACCTGAGACTTCCTCACGAAAATTATGAAAATGTGGCTGCGGCCTAGGCGCGGGGGGGGGGGCGTGCACCAGGGGGCCCAACAATAATTATTCTTTAGAATTAACAATGTTCAACAACAACAACAACAACAACAACAACAACAACAACAACAACAACAACAACAACAACAACAACAACACCAACAACAACAACAACAACAACAACAGCAGCAACAGCAACAATAACTACAACAACAGCAGCAACAACAACAGCAACAACAACTACAACAACGACGACGACAACAACAAGAACAACAACAACAAGCATTTTGAGACTGCTCGATGCTATCTTCTCGCGGGCCATTCAACACGTATACTCAGACCCTCGATATCCGCGTTCTTCGTCTTCGACCGTACCCCCTTGTGGGTGCATCTTTGTTACCTGCAACGCGTATTACGTGCAGCCACTAAACTAAGGAAAAAGAGGACGGATTCAATGAAGGGAGAAGGGGGAGGGAGGAGGATGGAGCAAGAGAGAGAGTAGCAGGAGGGGGGATAGGAGCAGAAAACAGGTGGCAAAACCAGACGGGCAGATCGGGCGGGTAGACCCTACCGGGCGGGTTGGGAAGGCGGGCCCAAGCGGCCAGGTCGAGCAAGCGGTTTGCTGAAGCGTGCGTCCTGCATGAACCGCGAGAGTGTCTCGAGCGCTAGCGCGACTCCCGAATAAATCGTCCGGAAATCCACGGCGAAAGCGTGATTCCTGAGTGTCGAGGGCGCGGCGTCTGTACAACTTGTGAGGAAGTCCCGCGCGAGAGCGCAATCTCAGAGTACTGTGAACTGTAAAGGGATATCAAGCGGGAGCCGTGGTTGTTGTAGCCCGGGGGGCAGGAGCACAGTTTGGTATTGCCAGGGTGCGAGCCCCGGGAGAAGCACGTCAATTGAAACAAAAAGTACTCATTAGGAATGGGAACTCAACAGCAGCAAAAGCAGCAGCAACAGCAGCAGCAGCAGCAACAACAACAATCCGCACCGCGAAAGCCCACTTCAGCCACGCACTCAAGGACAGTGAATGACCGTTCGGCCCCAACACTTTTATGTTTACGTAACTGTTTGTTCCCCGAGCATTGGACAAGGAACCCTTAGACAAGGAATCTGGAGTCCAGAGTCCAGAGTCTCATGGCCATGAGCCATGGATAACAACGCCGCCCTGGTCAGGACAATCGGCCCAAGACGCCCCCACAGACGCTCAGAGACAGAATCCAGACCCCCAGAGGGCCCCCCAAAAAAACGTCAGACAAAAAGCACCGCACCCACAGGTCGTCTTACGACGGGCAAAGCCTGGCGAAGAGAGGGGAACAAGCAGCACGCCGCACGACACATGAAGTCGGAGGAGAAGCAAAGCGAATCTGGCCGAACAGAGAATGCGGGGCGCCACCAACGCCCAATGACAGAAAGCGGGGAAACAAATGATTTGTTTCTCCCCGCGAACACACCACTGGTGCCCGACCACATGCACTAGGCAAGCTTGGAATCTCCTGAAGGCCAACCTGCAATAGGCGAGCCGACACGCGAGACCCTGGCCTGCGCAGGTAAACTAAAACGAGCGCAGCCGCGGCCACGCAGCAAGGCTTTCCTGCTCCTGCGGCCGAGACACGGAAGCCAGATCCCGTGCCGAAGCGCCGTGAGCCGCAAGGCAAAGTCGCACGTCCCAGACGACAAAAACCATCCTTAAGTAACCTCACGCCGGGCGACAGGACCGGCTGCGGCGGCACCTGTGGATTACCCTACTGGGTCGACGCCCAAACAAAACAAAACAACAACAAAAAAAAGAACGGACCAGCATCGGGCCGCAGCTGGGTGGCCGGAGGGGCGGGGAGGGGAGGAGGAAAAGGAGAGACAGGATGGGCAACCAGAGCGAATGAGCAACCGGACGTAAAAAACATCACCTGGTCGCAACATTGCCGGGTGGACGCCGGCGTGTCGCACTACGCGCGGGAAGGGAAGAGGGGGAGGAGGAGGAAGGAAGGGAACAAGGAGACAGTGACGCAGCGCAGACAGGAAATGCAAGGCGAACATAAAGTATATTCACTAAAGGTCCCGGCGCCCACCGCCGGACCAGACCGCCGAAGAGCAGCGACCGCCCAAGCCAATGTGCGGCACCCAGCGGGCGCGGCGTAGTGGGTCGAGCGGACGAGTGCGAGCCGGCAGGCCCCCACATGCAAACGGCGCTGCAAGCCAATTGACGGAGCACGTGCCCAGGAGGCGGAGCGGGGAGGGGAAAAGACTGGGAGAGTAGGTTGGAATACTGGCCGACAGCGCTCACTGGTTCACTCCTTCCTGCCGAACATCGTTTGATCGGCAGCGTCTCGGACTCAGGTTGCGGTCTGGCACTAACAGGCCTACCCGTGGGTCGGCAGAAACGGGTAGAGACATGAAGTAGATAGGCGTCGGAAGTAAAGCGGGCTCCCGCCCGCCCCCTGAAGAGGACGGAGGAGGAAAAAACGCCCGGGCCTTGAAGTAGGAAGGCGCCTGAAGCAGATTGGGATATGGGAATCCAGGAATCCGCGGACCCTGTCGGCGTGTGGGAGAGGCTTTTCCGTCTTTCCCACAGCGTCGTCGCCTCTCCCACTTGAGGGCGCTCTTTGCCTATCTTGGCACTCTCTGGAGCCGTTCCCGAACCCTGGAGGAGGCCTCTTGAGCTGTCTTCGGACGACCTTACAGGCATCTGGCGCCGTCTTCGAGGCACCTGAGGGCATCTTGGCCTCCTCTACCTCCATTGTCTTCGTCGTCGCTGTCTACAGGGTCGGCGGCATCGGCCGTAAGGCCTTCGCAAGACCCAGTTCCAAAAACAAGGGCTCCCAACTTCGCGCTTCGAGCTGCGCGAAGCGCGAAGTGCGAATAACTTCGCGCTCTCGCGCCGCCTCCCAAATGAGAAGAGGAGGATGAGGAGGAATCGGAGCCGAACCGCGAAGCGCGAAGCGCGAAGCGCGAATAACTTCGCGACCTCGAGGGCGCCTTGCAGAAACCGACGGCCACTGCTGCGCCGAGCGGGCACAGAGGCGGCGAGGAGGCGGGCGAGGAACAGGGGGGGAGGAGGGCCGCGGGCGGCCGGGGGCGCGAGCACCCCGCGCGGGAGGCCCTGCGCGAGGCGGCTCGGCAGGGCCGCTGGCGGTGCGCCCCGTCGGCCGGCGCGTCCAGGTGCGCAGGCGAAGCACGCAAAGGGCTGCGAGACGCAGGCAGGGAAGCGAACTCCATACACCGACGCGTTTCCCGACCCTGCGCTGACATTCGCACAAGAACGCGGATTCTGGTGTATACAGGATCCTGGTGTATACAGGTTTCGTTGTTTCCCTCGGAAAACGGGGGAAAAGTATACACCACACCACCCCGACGTCGTCCCTGACCCTGAAAAAGCCGTGGGATTGAAAAACAACCCGCCACTGGTAATCTGTATGTTCCAGTTTGCAAACAAACATAAAAATTCGGGGGTCTGCGCGGATTCCTCGGATCGGCGTTGGCCCCCCCCCCCTGGCGGCGCCTCCGGCGCCACCCCAGGCGCGCTCCGCGCGCCAGGGACGGGGTTCCACCGCCGATCCGAGAGAAGTCCGCGCGGACCTCTGGGTTTCTATGTTTGTGTCATTGCTTGTTCCCCGAAGTCATTAAAAAGGCTGTGAGACGCAGAGGCCTCCCAGATGGGGTCCGAATAGATGGGGTCGGAGGACCGCGCCGCATCAGCCACATCAGCGATGCATCAGCGACGTCGGCGTGGAGGAAAGCGGGCTCCAGATCGAACCGCATCGGCGATAAAACGGCGATGCGGCGCGATCCTTTGACCCCATCTACTCCGACCCCATCTGAGAGGCCTAGAGCGGAGGGGTCCACGAGTGGCCATGGCACGACCCGGGGATAGAAGCCGCCAACGGCCATGACGTCACAAGAAAGCCATCAGGGGGCACTCTGTGGCAACCAGGGAACTTACCCAGCTGCGGCACTCGGCAAGGACGGCCACGCATGGCGGGGCCACCGGGTGGCAGGTTGCGCGCGGAGTGAGCGTCGCGGAGCAACCCACCAGGCCGTGGATTCCTCGTCGACGGTCGCTTCCTCGGCATCCGCGGGCAGCCGCGCGAAGAGCGCCGGGCACGGTGGCCGCGCAGCGCAGGGGCCGGGCGGCCGCAGGGGGGGGGGCGCCGGGGCCACGGAGGCGGGCGGGCCAGGCCGCGCGGTAGAGAGCAGGCGGAGGACCGAGAGGGGAGCTGGGCAGGGAGAGCGGTCGCCTGGCACTGGGCGGAGAGGGCCCGAGGCCGAGCGACGGGGGGGGGGGAAGCGCCGGGGGCCACGGGGGCCACGGAGAGCCCGAGGCCGAGGCCGGGGCCACGGAGGCGGCGGGACAGGCCGCGCGATAGAGAGCAGGTGGAGGGCCCGAGGCCGAGCGACGGGGGGGGGAAGCTCAGGGTGGCAACGAGCCCAAGCACCGTTGTGCCATGCCAGGGTGGCAAAGAGCCCGCAGAGGCGGGCGAGAAGAAGAGGAAGGGCAAGGGGGTGCACGCAGGACAACGCGCGGCCCAGGTCCAGGTCCAGGGAACAATTGAACACGCCAGCAGAGAAGCCCCCGACGCCACAACAGGCGAGTACGAAGACTCTACGAAAAAACAGATGCGAGGCATAGTCAACGCTTCGCCGGGCGAGGGGAGGAAAGTCAATGGAGAATGGTAGGCACACCAAATGGCATTGTGCAGCCACGGGGCGGATAACGAAGACAAACGAGCAAACAAACCACACACACACAACAGGAACAAAAACAAACAACGAAAAAGACAACCCCCGTAACCTAGAGATGATCCTTACCAACAGACCTACCCGAAGGCCAGCCCTGCTGATAGACCCTAGCATACGTAGAGTGCAAGGCCACCGACAGATCTCAGCCCAAAGCTGGCAGACTTATCCATACTCATACCAATTGCCTACCTAGAGACACATCGCGGACCCATCGACTCCCTATCGACGGCTCCATCGTTAGCCTTTGCATCCCTTGCGGTAGTCCCATACGTAGGCTGCCGAGGACTCCTAAGGAGACCTGGTACAGGGCGGTGGAATGACCGTGGCTGGGATTCCTGCGTAGAAAGGTCGTATCTTTCGGAAGGCACACGGCAAGGCGCATACCTCTAGAACAGAGGTGCGAGCGCGAAAGCTGAAAGGAGGACGGAGGAAAGCAGCCAGGTGCAGGGTTCGAGTAAAAGATCGAATACCGAATTGTTACCCAAAGTTCAAATCTTCGTCGACTACATATAGATAAATATACATACATATATACATATATATGTATCACGTACGTCGGATTCCTAAAGGTCTACGAACATTCGAATCGAAAAATCATGTAGTCGACCTCCGACTCGAAGGATGGACGGGGGAATTGTGCGAGGTGACAGGGGAAGGGCGGCGAGGAGGTGAAAGCGACTCGGCTCGACTCGTCTCCCATCGCGGTCCGTGATCCCCCTGCCTCACGAGCCCCGTGGCGCGTGCTGCAGCATGTCAGAATAGACGAAGAAGTTCCCTTCTTGAAAGAACCAGTGGAGGTGCAGACAACTGGCAGAGAAGAGAGAAGCAAAAAGAGAAGGGACATCCGAGATGGAAAGAGAAGCACTATGGAGCCGCGGCGCGACCTCTGGCGCTGCTTCGAGAGCTCGCGCCTCTTGCTCTCCATGGAGCTGCGCATCTCCTGCTTGCGAAACGAAAACAGTCGCAAAGACAGGAGCCTCTTCTCCGCTCAAGGATCGAGGATCGAGGATCGCGGGGGTGGGCGATTGCCCCCTTTCTGGCCTCCAAACGCCTGCGGGGACCTCCAGCGACCTACAAGGAAGCACGGAGGCCTCCAGGAGCCTCCAGAGACCCCTGGAGACCTTCTGGGACCTGTGGTCAGCGGCGTGCAGACAGGATGGGGCGAGGAAGGCAGCAGTCTTAGAAGGCAGGGGTGCTTCCTGGGTCACCTGACTTCGCGCACCGAGCCCCACGACATGCGACGCGCGGTTACCTTCGCGCCCTCGCGCCATCGGTCCGCCCCCCCTGGGGAAGGGCAACCGCTCTGGCCCAAACCGCGGCGCGCGACGCGCGACTCTCTTCGCGGCCCCGCGGGTGACGCAGGCCTTCGGAAGGGCAGGGACGCTTCTGAGACATCTTCTTGGGAGGCGGCAGGGCTTCTCCTCCTCCTCCTCCTCCTCCTCCTCCTCCTCCTCCTCCTCCTCCTCCTCCTGCCTTCTTAGAAGGCTGCCCCTCGCGCCGCGCCCTTCGCGCAGCCGACCGGAAGGCTGCGTCTGCTTCCTCTTCTTGTTGTTGCCGTTCGTGCTTGTTTGGGAGACAACTACTGGGAGGTTTTCGTCGGAAAGATTATAGAGGATTGAGCCCCATTTGGGGGCTGTTACGCCAGAATTGGCCTCGGATTAAGCCGGATCAAGCGAGATTAAGCGGGATTAAGCGGGATAAAGCGGGATTAAGCGGGATTAAGCCGGATGTCGGACCAGGGCAAGATCAGAATTTGACCTACCAGGAGTTGCATCCGAAGCTTGTTGAGGGTGGCGCCTACTTTGGTGCAAGAGGGCGCCGCGGCAGGACGAGGGAAGCCGAGGTGCCAGCAAGCCGCTGACGATGGGACGTGTCACGCAGGAGGTTGCCGAACCGAAGCTGTGGAAGGGGGGGCACTCCTGAGAACGGCTGGGAGAGCGGAGAAGTAGCGCGCGGCGGAAAGCTGGCGAGCTGGGGCAAGAGCTGAAGAGAGGCCATCTCAAGCTGCTCAGCACGGTATTGATACAATCGGACCCGATTGGACAGGACACGCGAGAGGACACAAGACCCTTCCAAGGGCCACATTGCCATAGTAATGCAGGAGGCATGGGTCGCAAGACACAGGACGCAAGGGTACCCTTGCTTTGGCAGGGCCGACCTACTAATCAGGGCCGACTGCAAGTTGCGTAGAGCAAGGGCAGAAGAAAGGTGGACAATGACACGTCGCCCCTTTAAAGTTACCCCCAGGGCCCCTCGCCGCTCCAGACCGGCCTCGGGGCGGCCCAAGACAGCTCCACGACGGCTGCGAGATGCGACAAGGTTCGCCGAAGACGGCCCGAAGACCGCCCAGAGGCCAAGAGATGTCAACGACGGCCTCAGTCGGTAAAACCCTCATGGATGCAGTCCGGTGCACGGCGCGAAGTTTGCCGCAGGCAACATCGAGGGTCCTCGGCTTGCCGACTTGTCAACGTGAGTCCTCTTTCACCCCCCCTCCCGCCCCCGGCGGAGACAGGCGTCCTGCACCTGAAGCTTCAGCTGCTGCCGTTGAGCCATCGCCGAAGCTGACAAGGCCTCTCACAGCGAAAGCTCAGCAGACGAAGAGGGTGTGCTCAGTGCAGTACGTGAGAACGGGCGGGGTAGGCGAGAGGGAGGACGAGAGGGTGAAGGACAGGACGGGTCTGAGCAGAAAGCTCGCATCGGCCTGGAAGCAGGCAGGCATCCACAGGACGAGCGGGCTCCGAGCGAGCGGCGAGCTGCTTACAGCAGGGCAGACAGCGGGCTATCAGCTGGCAGGCCTGCGAATATTGCAGGAATTCCAGGAATCAGTCAGCAGGCAAACATGCAGGCATGCAGCAAGTCGCCAGCAGGATGGCAGGAAGCAAAGGGCACACCAGGCGGCCAGCATGCGTCAAGGAGGGGCAAGTAGGCACGCCAGCGGCCAGCGACGGGCAAGCGCGTAGGGGCAATAGGAGGACGTCAGCTGTACGCTTACGTACAGCTGTCGTTGGAAGACCCGTTGCCAGCCCGAGGTCAATGCGTCCGCTCCCCTGGCCAGGCCAAGCAGGGATGCACGCCGATCCGGTTGTCCCAGGACAGGCCCCGCCGCCCGAGGCGAGCACGCGGGCGGGCGAGCAGCCAAGCGGGCGAGCAGGCCCCGGATGCGGCCACCGTTCTCGGAAGGCCGCCACGAGCACACCTGCAGGAAGACCGGCCGCTGGGCGGGCGGGCGGGCGGCAAGCAGGCAGGCAGGCCTTTCTCCCAGCGAGGTGAGCCCTGCTGAGGCTCTACAGAAAAACCCACGGTGGCGGCGGGCGCAAGAGAGGGGCAGCCCCTGGGCTGGGCCCCCGAGCCTCCCGCCCCAGGGCTGCACGACGCCACGGGCCCGCTGGCGCGAGGGAGCACTGCTTTTTGACGGTCCTGGGGGCCTGAGCGGGGCCGCGGGGCGAAAATCGGCAGGACCCATTTCCCGCAGGACTGCTGGTCTTCAGGGAGAGCCCCCCCCTGGCAGGGCCCAGCCAGGCCCACCCCCAAGCCAGAACAGAGAGGAGAAAGGCAGGAAGAAGAAGCAGGACAACAAAATGAGCGCACCGCTGATGCTCGCCCTCACTCCGACTAAAGCTTACAAATTCCAGCAAGTACCGGGTGGAAGGCGTGTGGTCTCCAAAATCGTGCTGAACCTCGAGGCTCCCCTAAAGTGTTCCTGGCGCAGGGCCCAACCATGCGCAGCTGCGAGTACCGCCATTGTGAGTACCGCTTTTCCAGCAACTGTGCGAGGGGTTTGCCAAAATGGCAGGGGAATCGCCTGTCGACCGTCCCCCTAGGGCCGTCAGTGGAGCTCCCTATGGGGCCACGAACCATGTGACGGGTGTGCCCACATGGGCAGGGAACTGCATGTGGACCTTCCCCCCTAGGCAACCCGACAACTTGGGGGTGTGCCGAAATGAGTGGGGAACTGCAGATGGACCCTCCCCCTGCTGCCTTCGGTGGAGCTTCCCATGGGGCCACGAACCGCGTGAGAGGTGTGCCGAAATGTGACAGGTGATGATGACGATGACGATGAGGGCTGATGACAATGACGATGGTGATTACATGCGGAGGGCAGAGGCAGGAGGTGGATGAGGCAGGAGCGGGGGGAGGAAGGAGGAAGGAAGGAGTGAAGTGGGGCGCTCTCTTCAAAACGAGGACCTAACACCACAGCACAATTCAACATTAATCTCTCGCATGAGGCCGCAGCACAATTCATCATCTCAAAGGTTGAATGCTCTCCAACAGCTACACTGGTGGAGGGCGCTACCGTTCAAAACCAGGCTCTCGCCCAAAATTTCCTCGCAACATAAAACGCTGAAGATCGAAAATCCACAAATGTAAGGCGACTGGCTTCCAGAACCGAACTCTGGACTGATCACTCTCGACTGATACTTCCTTTCAAAATGCCCCGTTAAAGCTCCACGTGCTCAAGAATCACCAGACAAGGATGCCAGGGGGCGGGGCTCTCGCTTCGGCGCCGCATGCATAGCTGGCTGCGCGGTGGACGACGCGCCGCCGAGCCTTGACGTTGTCGCTGCCTCGCTGTACGAAACCGACAGGGCTCGTGCCCTCCTGATCCTGCCACTCCCTGGGGCATGACCGCGGGGCTCCGACTCTTCTGGCAGTCCCGTTGCTCGTACACTTCAAGCGGCGCCACAGGAGCACCACCATTCTGGCCCTCCCTGGCACTGAACCTCTGAAAGGTACCGTGCGGCGCGGCAACCGTGCAGCGTGACGACCACGCAACGCTACAGCATCGCAGGGACGCCTCACAAACGGCCCCAGTATGATTCCACAGAGCCCTTTCGTGAGAGCCTGGTAGAACCATCGCGTCGCGACCAAGACGGGCCACGAGCGTCCTGAGACGCCCGCGGGGATCTAGCGTGGCTCCACCGAGCCCCTTCGGGAGAGTTCGGTAGAACTATCCTGCATGCATGTGTTCCCGATGCTGTACTGGCACGATGACGGGGTCTGCCGAAGACAGCTGCATCAAAAATGGAACCGCTCGCCCGCGGCGAACGCCTGCGCGAAGATGAGCCACAGTTTTCCTGCTGGACTGTGGAGAAACACGTAGGAACAAAAACCCAGAGCAGGCGTGTGGAAATGAAACACTGCTGACAAGAACCACACATGTGCGTGTGTGTGCGTGTGTGCTTAACACTGTGTTTTTTTCCCACGTAGTCCGTGTGCGTTTTGCTCCACCGGTCCTGGCCAGCAATTCCCGACCAGCCCAACGGTCGCGGCAAGCACAGGCCACCACCAGGTCACCCAACGTCGCGCGCTTCGCGCCCCGGGGCGTGCGGCGCGCGGTGACCTTCGCGCCCTCGCGAGGCCCCCCTGGAGAGGGGCAGCTCTCCAGCCCGGGCCGCGATGCGCCAAGCGCGCTCGTCTTCCCTTGCCGAGCGCGTTCCACTACTCGCAAAGTGCCTACTCGCAAACGTCCGAAAAACACATGTCTGCTTTGATGTAATTGATCGTAGATCCCCCGCGGGGTATCCAGGCCATTTGCGAATAGTTACTTTGCGAGTAGTGGAACGCGCTCGTCGACTCCCGCCCATCCCTGCAGGTCGGATTGCCGAAGCACTGGCCGGGAGCAGAAGCCGAAGGACGACTGCAGCCAAGCAAGCCCCTGCAGGGGCGTCCGGCACCCCAGCGTCGACTGGACTCGCGGGCGTGGGGCTCGCAAGGGGTCGCCGAGAGAAGAACCCTGGACTCAGGTCGGGCATGTCCTCCTGCAGGCGGATTTTCTGGGAATAACAAAAAATAATAGTCGGCAACTCATCTCCTGACTACTTTTGACTATTTTTGAATATTCCTCCTGTAGAGGGACATGCCCGACTTAACCCTGGACCCTGGGCAAGCAGCGAGAGCGAAAGCGAACGCGCACTGCGCCCGGCAACGAGGCCGAACCGCGGGAAGTGGAGCGCAGGGGTCGCAGACGTCGCTCGGTGCCCGGCCGAGGCAGGCCAGGGAGAGGCAGCTCGCGGGGCCGCTCGGCAGGGGGCGGGGTGAGGCTGCACCCGCCTAAGATCGGCCCCCGGGCCGCTCCCGGGGTAAGACGAAGCCAGAGTGAAGTCGGGCGTGTCCACCTGCAGGGGGGCTTTGGGGGGAAAACAAAAAATATTCAAAAAATACCACCCAAATGGGCAAAAATAGTCAAAACCATCGTCCCCAGACTAGTTTTTTGACTACTTTTGAATCTTCCTCCTGTAGAGGGACAGGCCCGACTTAAAACCAGAACGAGGATACAATCGGGTGACAAAAAATCGAGAATCTCTAGAGGAAACAGAACTATGCACATACACCGATTCTGGCCAGACCCATCCTGAGCCCAGGATCGGTGCATACGCCCTCCTACCTTGGCCAGGAAGGCATATGCACCGATCCTGGGTCAAAAATGGGCCTTGCCAGGATCGGTGCATGTGCATAGTTCTCTTCGCCCGGATCTCCGAGGTCCGGCAGCTCTCCAAAATGTCTCGGAGAGCCGCGGCCTTCTCAGAGCGTTCCGGAACGCTCCGAGAGCGTTCCAGAACTCGCTGGAACGGATTTATCCTCCGGTGAAGTCTTTGATCCGTTGAGGAGGAGGAGGAGGAGGAGGAGGAGGAGGAGGAGGAGGAGGAGGAGGAGGAGGAGGAGGAGGAGGAGGAGGAGGAGGAGGAGGAGGAGGAGGAGGAGGAGGAGGAGGAGGAGGAGGGGGGCGTCCAAGAGGGGGGGGGGGCCCCGCCTGACGGTGTCCATCCGGTGAAGTCTTTGATCCGTTCCGCACGGTCCTGGGGCCCGAGAAGGGCCGTCAAGGGCAAGAAGCCTTCGAGCCCGGAGCCTCGAGCCTGCCCGCCCTTCCTGCTCGCCGGAGCCAGTGCTGGGCCACCTCAGGCCCCAAATCGGCGACTCCGAAGCGTGTGGTTTGCAAAGGGTGTGGCTTGCAACCGGCACCCTGGGGGGGCACCCTGGGGGACGAGCGGGGACCTCGGCAGAGTTCTCCGCCGCACCCCGAGGAAGCCCGACGAGGACAGTGTCGTGCCCCCCCTGGCCCCAACGGTGCCGACCGCACACCACAATACCCTTTTGCAGTCGCTGACCAAGCGGCTACAACTCGCGCCCGCCTCCGGGGCGAGCAGGCTGTCCGGCAGCGACAGCCAGCCGGACGGGAAGAGAGGCGACGGCGCGCTCTCGACGGGGGAGCAGATGCTGAACTGCTCGGGCGCGGCCCGGCCTGGGCGCGCTCTTTCTAGACGCCTGCCGCTTGCGATGCGACAGGCCATGTTGGGAGAAGAAGCAGAATAATGATAAGAAGAAGAAGAAGAAGAAGAAGAAGAAGAAGAAGAAGAAGCAGAAGAAGACGAAGCAGAAGAGCGGGGAAACACGGGTATACCCATACCGCTAGCGGAGCGCTCCAGGGGCCGCGCCCCAGGAGCCGCCAGGGGGCTCCAGCACAGAACCGAACTATCCTGGCGAAGGACCCAACCATATGCAATTGTGAATACCGCAGTTGTGAGCCCCGCCTTCGGTGGAGCTCCCTGTGGAGCCACGAAACATGTTTGTGGATGCCACGACAATGGACACTCGAACAATCCTATCATTGTATTAAAAAATGTGTTTGACATGTGTAAAACATGTTCTAATAGTGTTTCAAACATGTTTTTACATGTTCAAGACATGTTTGAACATGTTTGAGACATCTGGAAATTATTTGGCAGCATGCTTCCTCTCCATTGATCGTCCTCCACAGAAACATGTGAGAGGTGTTCCGATATGATTCCGGTGGCGCCATGCGAACCCTGCCACTGTGGCCTTCGGTGGAGCTCCCTGTGGAGCCACGAAACGTGTGAAAAGTGTACGGGCATGGGCGCGCTGGCGCCAGGCGAACCCTGCCACCAGGACCTTCGGTGGAGCTCCCCACGGGGCCACGGAACGTGCGAGGGGTGTGCCGAAATTGGTGTGGTGGCGCCATGCGAACCCTGCCCACGAAACGTGTGAGGGGTGTGCCGAAATGGGCGCGGTGGCGCTATGGGAACCCTGCCGCTGGGGCCTTCGGTGGAGCTCCCTGTGGGGCCACGAAACGTGCGAGGGGTGTACCGAAACGGGCGCGGTGGCGCCATGCGAACCCTGCCACCGGGACCTTCGGTGGAGCTCCTTGTGGGCCACGAAACGTGTGAGTGGTGTGCCGAGATGGGTGCAGTGGCGCTATGGGAACACTGCCACTGGGGCCTTCGGTGGAGCTCCCTGTGGGGCCACGAAACGTGTGAAGGGTGTGCCGAAGTGGGTGCGGCGGCGCCTTGTGCGGTGGCGCCATGCGAACCCTGCCAATGAGGCCTTCGGTGGAGCTCCCGATGGGGCCACGAAACGTGTGAGGGGTGTGCCGACATGGGCGCGGTGGCACCATGCGAACCCTGCCACTGGGGCCTTTGGTGGAGCTCCCTATGGGGTCACGAAACGTGCGAGGGGTGTGCCGACATGATTGCGGTGACGCCATGCGAACCCTGCCACTGGGGCCTTCGGTGGAGCTCCCCATGGGGCCACGAAATGTGCCGAAACAGAGACATGCGGAGGGCAGAGGCAAGGAGGGGGAGGAGGGAGGAGGGGGAGGAGGAGGAGGAGGAGGAGGAGGAGGAGGAGGAGGAGGAGGATGACCGATGACCGAGCCTCAGGAGGGCGCGTGTACCCCGCCCCCCGCCGCGGGGGGCCTGGTCACCACCTGAGGTGCCAGGACCCCCCGACCGCGAACTCGATGCAGTCGAGCTCACACGTGGACGGACTTATCAATGCCGTCCATGTCCGCGGGAGGGGGAAGGGGCGAGGGCCCTGCACGCGAAGCGGCTAGGCCGCCTACCACCCCCCCCCGCTGCTCCTCCCGCGGCCGGCCGCCCCGGGCCTGGGACCATCACCACGTGGACCACCACGCGCTCGACGGCCACCAGCCGCTCCGGAGCCCCCGCCACGCGTGCCGTCGGACGAGGCCGCCAACACCTCGAGCTCGACGGCCATTGCGACCAGCACGCCGTGGTCGAAGGAGGCCGTCTCGGGAGCGGGAGGCAGCCCAGCGCGCTCCCGCAGGCGGACGACGAGGTTCCTCAGCTGCCACACCTCGAGGTGGCCAAGCTTGCCCTTGCCGCCGCTCTCGCCGCCCTTGCCCGCGTTCTTGCCCTTGCCCTCGCGCTGGTCTGTGCTGGCAGGCGGGCCACGAGCCTGCATCACCACGGGCAGCTCGTCGGCCCAAGCGTCGTCCTCCAGCATCGGCTGAGGCGGGGCGCCAGCCCCCGTGGCCACCTCGCCCGCCGACCCCTTGTCGATGTCCATGCCGTCAGCGACGATGTAGTGCTTGCCGTTCTCGTCCCCGCCCTTCGAGCCGCCGCGGCCGCGGGGCCGCCGCCTCCTGCGCGAGGAAGCCGCTGGATCCGCCAGGGGCGCCGCGACGAGCGCGGGGGAGGAGGGCGTGGCGAGCACAGCCACCGCCGTGCGCAGCAGGCCTTCGGCGGCGCGGATGAGGCGTACCGCCTCCCGCTGGCCGCTCGCAAGCCCAGCCGCCGCGTGCGTCGCCAGCACTGCGCCGCGCGCAGCGTCCAGCGTCGCCTTCGCGGAGCGGGCGTCGGTCGTCGGCGGCATCGGCGAGGCGGCGGGTCGGCGGGAGGAGGAGGAGGAGAAGGAGGCGAGGAGGAGGAGGAGGAGGAGGAGAGAAGGAAGGAACGCGGGGCGCTGTCTCTTCAAATCGAGGACCCAACACCACAGGATGGTGAGGAAAAATCCGAGCGGAGCTCCGAAAGTTTCTGTTTGTGTCGCTTCTTCTCTTTCGAGCACATGATGGCCCCCCCTCCTGGATCTGGATGGGGGAAACGTTCTGGATACCAGAGCCCTCCGCAACCCAAAGTGGTCCTTGTTTCGGCGTCTCGACTGCAGCATGGCTGCGGGGCCATTTCGGCACCCAGCACCAAGCCTCCAGTCGCGGTGAGGAGTCGGCCGCGGTGGTCCCGACATTGGCGGCAGCACCTGCGGCGACGGCAGCAGCGGCGTCGGGGCTCCAAAGCTGGGTGGCTGGAAGTCCAACGCGGGAAGACAGGAGGAGAGGCGGAGCAAGGAGCAGGAGGAGGGCGTGCGGAGAGAGGAGGGAGGAGGGCGCAAGGAGGGTGTAGGCATTAGGCGGTAGGCAGAAGCATCCGCGGAGCGCACCGCCGCCCAGTGGCGAGGAGGGGGGGCCGAGGAGGAGAAGGCAGGAGGAAGGGTGGAGAAGGAAGGGGGACGGGGGGAGGAGAGGAAGGAGGGAGGGGGGAGGAGAGAAGTCGGGAGGGAGCAGAGGGAGCAGGGGGGGGCAGGAAGAAGGCAGGCAGGAGACGCAGGAGGAGGAGGAGGAGGAGGAGGAGGAGTGTGCGAGGACGAGGGAGGCTGCCGTCCGATGAGCTGCCCCTGGCGCTGGGCGCATGCAAGCAGAGGGAGGATAGGAGAGCGAAATCTATACATGTCCTGCTTGGCGTGATTTCCACCACCACCACCATAAGTTGGAGGGGGAGGGGGCCCTCCTCCTCCTCCTCTTCCTCTTCCTTCCCTCTCCAACTTATGGTGGTGGTGGTGCAAACCAAGCTCCTCATGTCCACTGCCCGAAGCCCAACCCCTGCTGAGCCCAGGAACGGTGCATGTGCATCCCTGGCCAAGCCAGGGCGGCGTACACACACACCGCTCTTCGGCCCAGGATGGACCAGGCCTCGGGCAGTGCGCGTGCATGGCTCCCGTCGCCCTAGAGGAGGGAGGCAGGGCGAAGAGGGGCCCCGTGGCCCGCCGTGCCGGCCCCCCATCGGGGCCCGGGGCACCCGCCCTACTGCGAGCGCCGCCGCGCCCCAAGGGGGCCCGCGGGCCAGCGCGGCGCGGACGGCGAGAAGCCCCCGGAGGGGGCGCGCAAAGATGGGTTAGCGATCCGTGGATGTGGTGCGCGGTCGCGATTTCCCACAAACACGGGACCCGTCGCTAATCCACGCCCCCATTGATGGATTCCCATTCATATTTTTCATTTGAACTGGGGACCCCAGATAAAGCGCCCCCCCTTACGACTTTGGCCCACCCCGGGCCTCTCGGGCAACTCTCCAGACGACCCGGGAGAACCCCACGAGAGCCCGATGACGGCTCCAAAGAAGCTCCAGGCGTTTTGGCGCGCTCCCGAAACGACCCCAAAGAGCCCCAAGACGGTCCACGGCGATCCCAAAGAAGCCGTCATGCCCCCAACGATCGCTCCGAAACGTCCCAACAGGCCTCCAAGAGCACCCCCAAGAAGGCCCACAGAAGCAAAATTCATTGATTGAAGTGTGGGCTTTGGTGAATTTCGGGGTTCTCCTCTTTTCGGCTTCCCGACGCTCCAGGACGGCGGTCTTCTGGGCGTCCGAAGCCGCCTGGGAGGCTCGAAAATCGCCCCACAACCATCCGAAAGAGCTTCCAGGCAGTCCAAGAGAGCCCCGCGACGGCACAACAGGGTACCATGATGGCCTAAGAGAGCCCCTGGACGGCCCATGATGGCCCCAAGACACTCTCCGAAGCATTCCAAATCGTGACCTGGTCGTTCAGGGAAACCGCGGTTGGAGGCAGGGTGGCCCGAGGAAGCCCCCAGAGGCCCCCAGAAGTCGCCCAAGAGGCCTCCAGAAGGCCTCACGAAAGCCTGAAAAACTGTTGCGCGGCCCCTAGAGGCTAGGCTATCCAAGGAGGAGCCTCCGCAAAAAGAGCTGAGAAGGATGAGAAGAATACACTGGGTACGGCGACAATGAGCAAAACGAAGCATGGAGGAAGGACAACACATAATATGATCATACCAGCGATACCAGAAAAGGCAACAAGGAGTTATCGCTAAAGTGTCGCTTTGACCTTCCTGCCATTCCGCCTGCATACCAAACTTCAAGGACCACGGAGCATGGCGCGAAGTGCCTATCTAGTATGGTATTATTTGTTATCACTCACCCTTGCCTGGCCGAGCCGTCGCGGGTGTTATTTGCCGTTTCAAATTGCTCCCGCTCCCTCCCTCTTCGATGGGCTCGCATCCCCAAAAATTGCGCTCCTCTACCACGGCTGGTTTTCTTTCTCAGACGTTGGGGGACCAACCCCGCAAAAACACTGTCGGCGGCTACACACTGTCGGTGGCTACTGACCTGGAAAGGCCAGTGTACGGAGGCGTTTCGCCGCATCGGGCCACTTGCGAGCCGATTCCTGCAAGTCGGCCAGGAAACGTGCCGGGGCGGAATA